ATAAATAAATAAATAATCTATGTCCTGTTTGGTTTATCAACACAATAGAAATTAAAAAGTTTAGAAACTGTAAATTTTAAACATAAGCGTTGCATGAGAACTGGCCATTATAAAGAAACATTTTTAAAATATATATCCATGGAACGTAATAGATATTTAATTTTTTTTTCTTTTTTTTTTATACAACTTAGAATGGCAAACAAGCTGACGGCCCACCTGATGGAAAGTGGTAACCGACGCCTATAGACATGAGCAGTACTATGGACATAACAGAGTATACTGCTTCGCCCATGATACCCCCCATGCGTTGCCATTCCTGAGGACTCAGGTGTTATTCCTCTGTACCCTGTAAATTCACGCCATATCCCATCCTTCAAATCGAAACACAGCTAGCAAACACAACTGCTTTACGGTTGAAACACGAATGGGACAGAGGTATCCAAGCAAACGACTTTTGTACAAAGTCTCCTCTGGTCTTGTTTGCATTCTTTTAACATCAACCATTGTATTGCGTTGCACGTTTAAAGGATTTGGATTTAAAAATTTAGATGTCCATAATATATAAAAATATTGGTGGTTTTGGTAAATCGAATAAAGAATTATTACTTTCAACCGGTTGAAAATAAATTTTCGAATCAATCTGACTTTTGTGGATTCATATCAATTGTAACAAGCCCAGGGGACAGAAGTTGTGTTTTATATTATAATGAAACGAATTGCTCCACGCAGGGACTGGAAATATTGAAGAATTACATAACTTGAAATAGGTCAAACACAAAAGTAGGTCATTCACGAGAAAGAACATTATAACCTGTCCTCCACGCGAAATTGTGGGCACAATAGCTAGTTATATGATATGAAAGTTACCAGAATTATACAATGAGGCGGCCTAGATACTTAACACCAGGGAGCGCCACCAAGCGACGCTCAAGCGTAAATGTCCTTACTATGAGTTTTTAAATGTAAAAGTGAATTTATATGTTATGGTATACTTGTACTATAAAGGACAGTAACTCAGAAGGAAATGGATAAACTTAGAGCCTTTGAAATGTAGTGCTGGAGAAGAATGGAGAAAGTTAGCTGGAGAGATCGAATTAGCAATAAGGAGGTCCTGTTTAGGGTTAAGAAAAAGAGACAAATTGTAAGAACTATTGAGGACAGAAGGGGAAAAATGTTAGGACACTTAATACGACACGACAAACTTATGAACATTATAATAGAAGGTAAGATAAAAGGAAGGAGGGGGAGAGGGAGACCAAGACATAGTTACATCAGGCAGATCAAGGAAGGAGTTGGTGTCGCGTCGTATCAAGAGGTGAAGAGACTCGCTGAAAATCGTAGTGAGTGGCAAGAGCTCCACCGACAAGAGCGCAGCTCTTAAATAGGATAGATAGATAATACTATAAAGGACTTGTAAGGTCATAAGGCTACCTTTTATTTCAGTCAGTGAACATATCCCGATCCTGCGGACAAAGTCGCAAGTTTAAGCTAGTACAAATAATTAAATACCATAGAAGATATCTATATTATACCATCTCCCATAAAGTCGAGCTTGCACTGTGGATACTGGACAACCGATACACTTATATTTACAGATATACTTATTTTCTTTTTATAAAAAAAAAAAAAAACATATACTCGTACGTTACACATAGAAAAAAAAACAAACATACATATGTATAAAATGTCAAGTATTATGCGAGGATAGAACCAATGACCATCGAAAGCTGCAGCGATGTGTCAAGTAACTAGACGACAAAGGATTTCATATTATTGAATGAGTATCTGCTTGTGTAGGTATACAGTACGAGTATATATATATATGTATACAATTAACGATTTACTTTGTACATAGGTAGCGTGTACCCCGGTAGGTATATATAGCCCGGTTTAGGCACCGATCCCCTTTTAATATGTTGGCTAATGTTAACATTAATAATGAATAATTTAGGCCCCCGAGTGGGCGAGAGACATTGTCGCGAGAAAGCTTTTAAGTGACCCTCTTACGAGATGACCGCCTCGCCCATTACCCGGTGCCCGTCCAGCCCGTCCGGGCCATTACACGCCCGCCGTAAAACAAAAATTGACTGCATTGCAAAAATAACGTCAATTAAAATTTATAATACTCATACAAAAATCCCGCGGCGCGATCCCGTCCCGTGCGCAAATGACCACAGTAAATTTCACCAGTTTAATTCTGCCGCTATGGACGGCGCCATTTTTCAAAAACAATCACAATATAAAACAATGACGCGTGTCGTCGCAGGCCTAACAAATGGAGGCTATGTTTAAAGCGCTTACAACAGGCACAAAAAGTGACGTGAATATTGTGCGAGCGAGACGGGGCGTGTCGCGTGCGAGCGATCCTCTGCAACGCGACCGACCGATTGTTTAAAGAAAGGTAGTTTCTTTATTTGCGAATAATGTGATTATTTCTTACATTATTCTACGATATCTAGTTCATTTATTCGCATATTATACAAAATAAATTCATACAAATTATTATATATAATAAAAGTGACAATGGTATTAGAACGTGTGAAAACTGTATTGCGATGATATCGAGAAAAAACTATATATATTTCGCCCTATAATTGAACGGTAGAAGAAACATTTGAGAAAAATACGATCGGAATCAATCGGAAAATAAAGTACAATTTATTACTATCTATTACTAATTAGTTTATTTTCAATTTAATTATTTTTTTTATTGTATCATTGTTTTTGGTTGCTTAATTTCGACCTGAAAAGTATAGTAACTCACTTTAACGATAAAATTTCAAAAATAGCCCAATATACGCCATTAATATTAATTTGTGAGGAAAAGCTTAGCTTTTATACGTACATCAAAACAAACCGCCACTTGTATAATAAAATAGTACATATTCTGTTTTGTTTCATGAAATAAATATGTACAGCGCATCGTCTCACGCGTCAGTGTCATCCCACAAAACGTAACGTCAAATACAATCGCATCGGAAACAAGTCCGCTCAGTGCTCAGCGCCGGTGCGGGACGGATAAGTGGGTCGAGCTACGAACAAAAACGTGGAAACAATACAGAAAAAACAACACGCGTAGAGGCGGGCGCGGTGATGCGCGACGCGATCCGTGTAACAACGCGCGACTGATTGCCTCTGAAAGGGTGAGTTGGAAAAAATAAAAAAAAAAACTGTACATTGCTGATTAAAACGCGAGCGACACAGTACAAAGCGATTATCGGACCGTACACCGCCGTCTATTACTTTATACATACCCCACCCCCTCTGTCCCGTACCCCGAGCCCCGAGCCCGGTGCCCCGTGCCCCGTGCCCCACAGCGCGCCGCACCTCTCCCGTCGCACCGACTCATTGTTATTTTACATTGACGACAGATTAATTTGTTACAGTCAATCTTTTGTTATCGAAATCAAATTTCAATGTGTTAGCGGGATAAAATAGAATGACACTCGACGGTCTGCCTCGATTTACAGCGGCCGGCGTGGGTTTCCAGCCATCTGGACGCTTCACATTATTAATTTTATATCATAATATTGAGGGAATAAAGAATATTTTTATTTACTGTGGGAATTATTTTAAAAGTCCGGCTGCAATATTGGATAATAATTTGTAGTGTAGCTTAAAATCCTAATTATGTCCATACATTATATTTTCTCACTTTATTCAGCCATGGAATTGCAACACGTGTTGTTGTGTTTTTTTTTTTTTATGTAATACAGTGTAAAATAGAGGAAGTATCGGTAAGGAATGATATTTAACCCTTCTTTGCATGATTTTTTTTACTGGTGAAATAAATCAAGGTGATATAATTCATGTTCAAATTTAAAGGAAAAATGGTTAAAAAAATAAATTTGACACCTATGTTTTTTTTTCTACGATGGACATTAAAAACGTATCCAGACACGATCAACTGAAAGTGAACTTGTTCTTTTATATAATTTTTGGGCATTCAATGTTATGATGGAAATTTCCACCATTATGCAAAGAAGAGTTAAGGATGAAGTCAGGCTGTTGAGCCAGTCGTGGCAGGATTAACTATGATTAGGAATTAACTCCACAAAGTCACATCATCTTTATTTAAATAGACTTGTTTACAAACACTTTTAAATTGTTATTTTTTTATGAATGAAAGGTACCGCGTAGATGTTTACATGACGTTATTAAATTATGGACATAACTTTCTATTCCTAATAACTACTTGACAGCGATGGAATAATTTATCTATTTATTATATTTTTACCTACCTAACTGTTTCTTAAAGCCAAATAATTCAATTCTTAAGGCAAAGTAGATTTATAATAATAATAATAATAAACTCTTTATTGCGCACAGTAGAGATGTATACAAGGAGTATTTATACAGAATGTGCATATACAAAAGGCGGCCTTATCGTTAAAAGCAATCTCTTACAGACAACCTTATATTCAAAATTGGGGAACTATTTATCAAATATTTAGAAGTTATATTTAGACATATAAGAATATTTAGACATACTCTATGTCGAACAAGTAAGAAACATTCGAAAATGATTTTTTATAAAAAAATGAATATCTAGAAGTCCTGGGTGGGCATGGAGAGGCAATTTAATTAAAGTCAACTAAGCTAGTTGAGATTGTGCAGCAAACTATCATTGAAGATGCAGAGGTGTTATAAGACATGGAAACGTTGACTGTTTCAAATTCTCCAGCAATTCAAACGGAAGTTTATTTGCAACTACTTTAGGAGGAGCTAATACAGAGAACATTTTTTTTTTTACTTAATACTACCTGATTGCCACCATTCTGTAATTAGATAGTAGTTAGGATTTTAGGTTTACTTCAGTATATTAATAAATAATTTATTCACATCCTTTTTTTTCTTTAACTTTCCCCTAACATGACACTCTGGCCCTCTGTTGTTTACTAGTTTGAAAGCTAAAGAAGTTGATGCAAACTTCTTGAATTTTATTTCGTTGTGTTTTTTGCCTCAAATTATTAGGTAATATAATATAATTATGTACTCACGTCATGAAGCCAGGAGAGTTTCCTAGCGGGTGGGTTGGCACGCACGTGGCACTCGAAGTAAACGTCGTCTCCCTCCTTGATGTCTCCTGCCGCTAGTGAACTGCCTAACCGCAGCTTCACCACCGGTGGATCTGGGAATGACAATAGATTTTATTTTATACCGCTTAGAAGCAAAAGAGCACACGGCCTGTTTGGTCAACAATACCAGAGAAGTAACTAACTAATAAATTTCAGAAATGAAAATGATATGGCAATTCCACCTACGCCTCCGAGATATGCTGGCAAGCTAAAGGTCCATAGATCCGTTAATACAATAATTTCCTTTTCAAACGAAAATATAAACTGCATGGGGCACCTGCTCGGCGACAAATTTTTTTTTATACAATTTAGAATGACAATCAAGCTGACGGCCCACCTGATGGAAAGTGATAACCGTCGCCTACAGACATGAGCATTACCATTGACATAACAGAGTATACTGTTTCGCCCATGATACCCCCATGCGTTGCTATTCCTGAGGACTCAGGTGTTATTCCTCTGTACCCAGTAAATTCACGCCATATCCCACCCTTCAAACCGAAACACAGCCATGCAAACACAACTGCTTCACGGTTAAAATATAATGTGGATGACATTATACAAAGTTTCCTTCTGATTTATATATCCATAGTATAGTAGAATTATCCTAATTATCATAATAAGAGTATAAAGTATTATAAACTTTATTAGTACAATAAAACTGTAACAAAACGACGTCTGTGCATAGGAGATATTTAGGAAAAAATTATATTTTTTCCTATTTTTTTATTCTTAACAGTAAATCAATAATTACAGTAAATAATATTTTGTCTATCTGGTTGTTTAGGCATCATCCAAAAGCTACAGAACCCGATTGAATGTGGCTTTTATACTTTTATTTCTGAAATCTAATTTAAACTTTGGTGTATGTTTTATTTCAATACACGATCTGAAAGTAGGTGCTTACTTTCAAATTTTACAATGTATAAAGTTGGGGAGAAAAGCTATACTAGCTTAATATTTTAAAGTATCCATCACTCAATATAAGAACTCCATCGTGTTAGGTGGATATTTAAATATAATAATAATAAATTTATTTGCATTAAATAGGGTAGGTATCGGTGGTTTTATATTACATAAAGTGTCGTGCCTATATAGCCATTACAGAATAGCATGCAAATGTTACATTTTGATAGGAACTGATTAATTTATGTATCGACATTTGTACTAGATATTTGTCTATACTTTTTTTGAATTATTCGTCTACAGAGTATTTATTTATTTAGAGCTTTTGCTAAGTAACCATTTACATAATCCAATTTTCAATATGTTTAATGGATGTTCCTTTATATCCATAGGAATATTAATAAAGATTTTTAAACAAAACAAACTGAGCGTGTAATATTTATGTTGGTCTAAGGATAGGGTAACATTTGTTAGGCTTCCGAGGAATCCTTATTACACCAAACAAGAGAAACAGGAAGATTTCCTATAAGGCTGAGAAGCCATATATAGATGGGTTACTAGCTGTACTCGGTAAGGGGGCTTCCTTTCTATTATTTTGGATCTTTTCAATGTTTCATTATCCATAGCGTATAGTGTAAACACGTTGGGCATCCATTTCATTTGGAAATGTTATATTATTTCCTTTATTATTTTATTTTATCCGTATTTTTGTCCGTGTGCCCGGATATGCCGATTGACCGGGTCAAATAGTAGTCAATGCCCTTCTCTGCCGTAAATAGATATATTTATCCGTTACGGCACCAAGAGGCAACAAACAAACAAGCTCAGTATCAAGTTTATAATATTAGTAAGGAATCCGGTAACTTTTAATTAAAAAAAAAAAAAAAACACTTTGTATGTCTTTCTGAAGATTAAAAGGATATCGGTTCTGTTGTTTGTCTAGGTCTTAGTGAGCTGATCATGTCGACTTTCGTTTTTATATTAGGCACTTTTTTTTATACCACTAAGTGGTTACCGTAGCCTATGAACACCTGCAATACCAGAGGTATTACACGCGCGTTGCTGACCCTGAAGAAATCTCTTTTGAACTTTATGCTGTAGTCTCTTAGGAAAACACTGTTAATTTAATTATTATTTATTGGAAATATGAATGACTCATAAAATATCTTTTATTATTGGCTATATCTATTTATTGTCATATATATATATATATATATATATATATATATATATATATATATATATATATATATATATATATATATATATATATATATATATATATATATATATATATATATATATATATATATATATAGGGTTGCATGTATGTATCTTTATATATCAGCCGAGCACTTAATATAAGTTAATTAGAAAATAATCCATCTTTCTTTTTTTATTAATATTCTTGTAATGTAATTGTGCTATACTAAAACTAGTAATTAAATTACTCAAAGTATATATAGATTTAGTAGGAGTATGCTGTAAGTAGAAAATGCTAGCTGGCTGAAATGACGATAATGACATTGGTAAAATAGATACCGATCTGATATCTATATATTTTGGATCTTGATGACAGAAAAAAGGTCTTTACCCATTTCGATATAGCCCATATCGGTCGGATATCTATTTTTGAATATGTTAAAAGTCTGTTATCCAATATTATTTTATACACATATATATATATATATATATATATATATATATATATATATATATATATATATATATATATATATATATATATATATATATATATATATATATATATATATATATATATATATATATATATATATATATATATATATATATATATACTAAAATATATATATATATATTGCTATATATTCCCTATTCCTAGTTGCAAGTTTATATTTTTTGTTTAATAATAATAATAAGTTTATTTCAAAATAAATGTTACAAACATTTTTAATACAATTGGACTTGTTTCACTTGCTACAAAGTTTCACAGAGCGGTTTACGTAATTACGCAAAATTAGCAATGATAGTGTTTATTATATACTTATTGAAATAATTATTGTTTTCATCAATCTTTTACTTGTATTATTTATATCTTATTTGTATTTTAGTGATTTATTTTTTTATTATTAATGTATAACTTTTAATTTATAATGTATAGTTATTATTAATATTGTTATTCTTGGTAGTTGGTGAGTGCATTTGTAAATATATCATTGTAATGTACATTACAGAGCATGTGATATATGTATAAATAAATACTTACACACTACGCTAATAGTCCACGAGGTCTCCATGAAGAGGGTGGTGACGTTGGGGTTCTCCGCGCGGCAGGTGATCGGCTTCCCGTCGTCGTCCAGGGTGGGCACGAAGCTCATCACGCTCACCGTCAGGTTGTCGCGGAGCTCCTCCTGTAAAGACACAGTATAATTAGGTATACATAAACAATTTAATAATAATTAACATTACCAGAGGGAGACTTTGTACAAAAGTCGTTTGCTTGGCACGTCTGTCCCATTCGTGTTTCAACCGTGAAGCAGTTGTGTTTGCATCTCTGTGTTTCATTTTAAAGGGTGGGATATGGCAGCGAATTTACAGTTTACAGAGTAATCACATCTGAGTCCTGAGGAATGGCAACGCATGGGGGGTATCATGGGCGAAATAGTATACTCTGTTATGTCCATGGTACTGCTCATGTCTATAGGCGATCGTTATCACTTTCCATCAGGTAGGCCGTCAGCTTGTTTGCCATTCTAAGTTGTATAAAAAAAAGTTGGTTTCCAGGGGGAACCGCGCGGAGGTCGACCTGACAGGTTATATTGCTAGCAATGGCGATTAACGTCACCATTACTGACAATCCTTTGAACAATTGTTTTTATTTCTCAAAATATTTATTTAATTTACAATTTGTTTTTTATTTATGCACCGCTATTTACTCTCTCTGTTTATCGTAACGGTTCACTGGTAGAGAATACCATCAGGCATTGAGTCTGCCCTGTAGATATATTTTAATGTGTGCAAAATTATAAAAAAAAAATTAAATAAATCCGCTTCAACCATATAGTATATTGGTTGCCTGGAAGAGATCGCTTAGCTTAGCGATAAGGTCGCCAATTGTTTTCTCATTGTAATTATTTCTTGTAATTGTTTATATTTATAATAAGTTTACTATTGTAATCTTATGGAGGAAACAATAAAGAGTATCCATCTTATCTACCCATCTATATTATAGTGGTTGATTAAGCCTTTAAAGCGCTATAAGGTAACAAACAAACAAACGCATTTTCGCATTTGTATTATTAGCAAGGGCTGAATTGTATAGATAGTTTAGACATCCAGTAATAGGTGAAGATTCCGCTGCTAAATGCTGCAGGTATTAGGCACTTAAGTATTATTAAAGTTGGTTTAAATGCAGATGCAATAGTCAAAATCAAAATCGGTATAAAAACAAATTATTCAATACGTATTTGGACAGTATTGTGATTCGTGATGGCAGTCTTAAGTGAGCGGTCCGAGGTGGCTCGCGGGCGGGCGGCAGCAATGCAAACAGTCGCCTGTTTACTCGCCTGCCCCACCTGGGAAACTATATGGCTATGCCGCTGGAATACATATACCGTCAGTTGGTATTTGCATGTGTGCACTCGCATTTTGCAAACAAATGACGTTAATGTGATGCAGCGTTTGTTATATTTATGTATACGTATTAAGTTTATCAATAAACAATTCAAAGAGTACAGGTCTCGTGGGAGTCGTCTTAAATAATCATGCAATTCTCAGATCTGAAACACTATTATAATAAAATTACCGCTTATAATTTTATATCGTTGTTTTGTCGGTTTTGTTGGTCGTTCAATGTCTTGTATGTTTATAATTAACTTTAACTTTAACGTTATCTTTTGTTTTCCGAATAAACAATAAATAAATATAATTGTTACATACAAACTGACCCTTATTCAATCTCTAAACCTATCATCTTTTATAATATTATTGTATATTTTTATCTATTATTTGTTTTTTTTATTCGTCATCAAGTAGAACAACTTATCACGATAGTAATTGGTGATATATTACTCTAGTTCGTTTACGATTAAGGAGGCTGGTGATTAACAAAGGCAGCTCGCTGCCCAATTTAGACTCCAGTTTATAACTGTGTTTAGTTATATATTATTGTTGCCAATTGTATTGTAACATGGTTATGGTGAAAAATAAATAAATTATATTTTTATTAATCCATTTATATATATGTAATTCATTTATACTACTATCTTTGACTAGTTACAGAATTATACTTTGCTTAGCAAGAAACAACTAACTCCAGTCAAGATATAATAGTGAGTAGTAATGTCGTATTCTTAATTTAAAACTAATAAAACCAATAATGAAAGTTTAGGAACTAGGAATTGTGTACTATTGTTAAAAGATTTATAAGTACATTATCATTTTATCAACCGTTAACTGTTCATTGCTTGTTTATTGTCCCCCTTTGGGAGGTTTTGCCAGTAGTTGTGATGCTTGACAGGCGGGTTGGTAACCGCACTTAGGATTTGGTGATGTTTTAAGAGGGACGCTGCTACCCGTCCCTGTGTATCTATTTGTGGAATTAGCTTCACTACAAGCGGATTATTGTAAAGAAAATGGCGGTATCAATAGTCACAACACAAGAGTAAACCTAATGCAGTCTATTACTCGTAACAAAATTGGTACAGAATGGTGAAGATATTGTGCAATTTATACACAAAAATACAAATGATTTCACATCTAGTACATGCTGAAAGTCACTTAGAAACAATAAACAATGTATGTGTAAATTTATTGTGAATATATTAACATTACATTTTAGATTATCAATTTTATTTTCACGTCAAACCTCTTAAAGGGGAAACTGTTGGCACACTCGCTGGGGATTAGACCTTTAGTCTAAAAGGCCCCGATCCGATCGGAGCGCGTATTGCGTTCCGTAAACTGCGATTTGTCAGCGCTATTATCAATAATGTAGCGATTACACAGCGTTCGTTGGCGACGCAGCTTTATTTCTCCCTTTTTCATCGCCACAACAATCACGTGTGCGCGATAAATCCTAAGTACGAGTGGTATACACCCCGCCGCTCTGCATTGTACTCGATTGTCACGTACAAGCTCCAATGGATGTTATAATGCTTAGAATTATTCTGTATTCCTTTTTCCTCCTTTATGTTCCCTCCCTTTTCATATTGCCGAATGAATACTTGATCTCGTGGAAAGAAATTAGGGTCTCTCGCGACTTATTGCTAGGTAGTTACGCGGCGTAAAACACGCGGCGGCTGACAATTTGTGATGTCGTTTTATCTTGATAATACTAAATAAATAAATATGAGATGAAGTTATATAATAGTTGAGCTATTCAGTTTTGGACAGCTTCTTAAATGCGATGTTTATATTAAACTTAGTTGCTTGCCTCAGCTTCGAACGAATGTTATGCACGCTTGCATTGCACAAAGAATTTGCAAACATTTCCTTTCCCAAAAATCTTGTCCTGACAATTACAAACAAAAAAAAAAAAGAATTAACTAAATAGACGCAGCCATTCGGAAGTTATGCGTTCACAATTCAGCAATTGATTTTTATTTCTATAGACTAATTTTTACTCGTAACTTCCTCAGAGGTTATTTTTTTTATACAACTTACAATGGCAAACAAGCTGACGGCCCACCTGGTGGAAAGTGGTAACCGTCGCCTATAGACATGAGCAGTACCATGGACATAACAGAGTATATTGTTTCGCCCATGATACCCTGTAAATTCACGCCATATCCCACCCATCAAACCGAAACACAGCCATGCAAACACAACTGCTTTACGGTTGAAACACGAATGGGACAGAGGTACTCAAGCAAACGACTTTTGTACAAAGTCTCCTTCTGGTTATATTTATTGACCAGGATAAAAAGTGGTTTATGTCCTTTTCCATTTCATATAGTACTAGACAATAAAATTGTTTGAATCGATAACACAGCATGTATATTGTGATTTTAGTCGTAACAAAACACTATCGACGAAATGTTTTATAGATATGCGATGAGGCTGTATATATAGTGTGATCACGATGATTAATATATATTTATTTATTTATTATATGGCCTTTCAATTCTATGAAACTTCTCGATGTCTGAATATAGAACGCAAATTGATATTCATAACTAGATTTTGTTTTATAATCAGCAAGGTTTTACATTACAAAAGAAAAATTGAAGTAAATTTATCGATTACAAAAATAACAAAATCGTTTCATAATTTGCCTCACAATTGCATAATATATCAACAAAAAATCGAGAATCCTATAGGAAATCGCTAAAAAAGATCCCCTTTCTTTAGCAGTTCAGCAAAAAGGGGTTATGCAGTGAAGAAAAATTGGGTCGGAGTATAAATTCAGTGGGTCATGCGAAAATCTTAATCACAGCTGACTCGGCTGGTGTGTTGTGCAGATTCATAATTCGAGCGCTGTTGCTGTTCGTTGGCCGCCGTCCAAAAGTGGTGGTGCTTATTAAGTTAAGCGATCACCTTGCATATTTGCGCAGTCCACCGCTGCAAGTGCACCGTGCGGTATGTGTGGCTGCATTTACACTAAGTTTGCTCTAAATTTAGATAAATTCTCTCTTTATTACGCGGCTTACTAAGGAAAGAGCTTCTTAACTCGCTAGTCCCTAATTTTTAGGTGTATACTAGCTTTTGACCGCAACTTCGTGCACATGGATTTCGGATGTAGGTAACCCATCTACTAGGCGACGTACCTTCCGAATATGGATCTAATACTACTTAGTAGTTTGTATTTATATAAATTCATTATTTATATAGGTAAACTTTTTCAAAAAAAGCAACACTTGAGGTTCTTGGGCGTCCTTTTTAGCTAAAAGTGCATTCCGGATGGGTGGTAATGAAAAAATAACTATTCAGAAATACTTAAACCTAAGTATGCTTGAATAAAATGATTTTTTTCTTTATAAAATATAACAGTGTTAAGTCTCTTTGCAAATACCGTTTTCAATTTGTACTAATAGTTCTGGCGTATTCCGGAATAAACATCCAAACAAAAATTTTCAAAAATCGTTGTTTTGGCTTCTATTACTCTTATTAAGATCTCATATATATATTTTCTTAATTATACTCTAATATTACATTACATGTTGCCAACTTGCCTGCCAAACGTGGCAACTACTGACGAAAGTCCCCTTATGGGGAAGACTTATGTTCAGCAGTGGACAGTCAACGATTGAAATAATAATAACAATTGCATTACATTGTCTAGTTACGATTTTAACCCGCCACTGGTGACGTATGTGTCTGTGAGACCGGGTAGTTAGTCATACGATAATAACGTTTACAACCGCCATTGATTTTTGTCGTGATTTTGAGTAGCTGCTTTATTCATACTATC